CAGAACCCTGATCAGCTCATGTCTCTGTTCTCTGCTCATCTCACTGAGACAAACATCTGCTGAAATGATTCCTTCTCCTCCAGAAGCAGTGAAGCTGCTGAGGTCTGGTCACCATGACACGAGCATCACACTGAAGCTCAAAGGTGAGTCACAGTTACTGTTTTGTAATGTCAACCAGTCCAGCAGACTGTTTCTCTCCCACAGTGTTTATGAGGTAACTGAGGAGCTCATGTTATCAGAGGGCTGGTTTCCCTTTTCTCTCTTAATCACATCATCACACTCTGGAATGAAAACAATCAACTTTGTGTTTCTCAGGCAGTAAAATGTTCTTTGGCCTCATCCAGGGAAACCAACATTTCCTTCAGATTAAAATACATCAAAAACACCTCACTATCTCTTGTCTACAGTCACATCCTGCTGCGTTCACTCATATTTGATGTTCCAGCAGTTGAATGAAAGAACCTTGTAGATGTTTGTTTCACTGCAGATATCCAGGATATTGATAGAACCTGAACGTTACTGTTTTAATCACATTTAAGTTCCACAGTTTTATTTACTCAGTGTGCCACATCACAGCAGCACAGCACACTGCAGCTGATTACACCAAACACTCAATTATATTACATTATATTAAAATTAATAGTAGTAGCCCCTGTAGCCCCCTGTGGGCCCTGTAGCCCCCTGTGGGCCCCTGTAGGCCTCTGTAGGCCCTGTAGCCCCCTGTAGCCCCCTGTGGGCCCCTGTAGGCCCTGTAGGCCCCTGTAGGCCTCTGTAGGCCCTGTAGCCCCCTGTGGCCCCTGTAGGCCCNCCACAGCTGGACTCAGTTTAGTTTGAGTGATTGCAGCTTTGGTTGCTTTGAGTTTCCACTCATAGTGAGTTTTAAATCGAGTCTTTCTGAGCTATCAGAGGAACTTCTCCACTGCTCAGCCTGAAAAGTCAGTTAGAGGCGACACAGTTTTGAGTCATTTGACTTTGAAGTGGTTTCTAAGAGGTGTTCTTGCTGCTGCTGCTGCTGTATACTGTATGCAGGAACCAAAATATGAGACAACTTTGATCTATTTGTGCTTCAGAAAAGTTTTCCAACACAAGGAAGTGAAATGTGCCTGCTGTGGGTTTCTAATTTCAGGCTGCAGCAGTTTTTATTGCAGCGGGTCCAGAGGAGGCGGAGACAGAGTTGCATCACAGCTCTCACACTGACTCACTCAGTGTTTTCCTTTTTTTCTGCCGGATCCAAGCAACTGCTGCGTTTTCAAAACAGAGGGAGGGAAGCCTCAAAAGCACGACATTATGTGCTAAATAAAGAAACACGGACGTGCAGATTTTCATTCACGTGTGATGTTATTAGCTCAGAATAACCTGATGTAGGTCATTTACTACACTGACTGGCTTCGTGTGGATTACATGTCAGATAAATATGCAAAAAGAGCAACTAAAGGATAAAAGTCGTGCACTGACGAGTTCACAGAGCTCACTGTGACACACTTCCATCCTCGGCCCTCCGAGTCCTGGAGCGTCCCCGAGCTGGACCCTGAACCACACGTTGCTCCCAGTGGAAGGTGAACACTTTACATGGCAGCTCAGCCCCTGCTGGTGAACGAGTGAGTGTGAATGGATGAATGACGGCACTTTGTGTTAAAAACAGGAACCGTGTGAGCCATTGACACGAATGAGGTTCAACACCAACAACACAACTATGTGTGTGTAGTGCGGCGCGGTGTCGCAGTGGATAGCACCGTCGCCTCACAGCCACAAGGTCCTGGTTTGAATCTGGTTCTGGCCTCTTTCTGTGTGGAGTTTGCATGTTCGCTCTGCCGGGTTCCCTCCAGGTTCTCTGGTTCTTCCCTCAGTCCAGAGACGTGCTGAGGTTAGCAGATGGATAGAAAGATGGACGTAGCTACCGCTACGTTAGCCGCTGGTTTCTGCACTGTGAAAATGAAGCCAGGGTTTTGCTACTTCCTGGTTGACATCTTGGATTTTTGGTGCTAGAGACAAAAAAAGAGACTGTGAGAGGGCGGAGCTGGAGAGCAGCGATTGGTCAGACGGACTGAGAGCCGAGGACGCTCTGCCCGCCCACATTTACCTGCTGCTGTGTTTACCTGCTGCTGCTAACAACGTTAGCCTCCAGAAGTGGAGCTAAACTCTCCAGGTGAGTGTTAAAGTGTGTCAGTACCTGGTTGTGTTCTGTCCACATCTGGACGATGTTCCATCTGAAGCAGCGACCTGCGTTCCTGCGGCTGAAGCTCCTGCAGGTTACCATCAGACTGGAGCCTCTGATGGAGAAACAGGATGTGACATCGTGTTTAAAGCT